AAAATCGACGTTGGACATATTTCCCGGTTTATTTTGTGCAGCAGTTTTTGGCCGAAAATCTGTTGACGCATGTCGGATGCCCCTGAGTAATGACAGCGTTGATTTAATTTTCTCTTTGTCCGCCGACGTTGTTTTCCATGCCGGACATGTTTGCCTTCTAATTTACAATCGGATTGAGTTGCTTTTCGCACTCATAACACTCATAAATATGCTGATTCCATGCTCCAAACTGAAATTTTCATTTCGCCTGCGTGTAGATCCCATCTCCTTTCGCCTATCTCCACAGTTTGTTTGTTAATAATGTAAACGTTTTAATATTTAATATTGCGCATACGACATGTTGCGACATTTTTGAAGCTCCTCAACATTGCCTGACATTTAAATGAATTTTCAATAATTTTGCTGTCGTTGTTTGTCGTTCATTTTTTTTTTCTTTTGACAGCCGATAGAGTTGCTGTTGTTGTTGTTGTTGTTATCGCGCTGCGAAAGTACCACCACCAACAAGCACTTAACGCCTAGAAAGGACCTTCGCACCCACATCCACCCATTCCATTCACAATTTCGGTGGCGCAACCTACTGCCGAAAATGCCATTTGTGCAAATCTAATAAACAGCGAACCGCATTAAATTTGACAGTAAGGTGTGGGATTTTCAGGGTATATATATATATATATATATATATATTTGTGTACAGGGAGAATATGTGTCTCTGGGCGAACGTGTCAATCGAGGGACTAAAAAGGAAGAAGCCGGGAATACGCCCTGGTGGGCACCACAATGGCCCAACTTTCATTATAACATCCGCAAAGAATCTTAGGCAAAATGATTATCGAATGCTTCACTTGATACCGTGTTAATAGAATAATTAAAAAAAACATTACCATTCAAATGTAACTATTAAATAAAGGGCTGATTCTAGGAAAACGCAATTATCAATTAAATATATTTGCCTCGACAATATAGACAACTTCCATTTGTAAGTGTAAATTAAATGTTGGGTATTTATAACTTATAACTTTACTCATCCATTATTAATTCTCAAAATAATTAGACGACACTTAAAACGATCTATCTTCAGTTAATAAACGTTCTTTGGACTAGTGATTTATTTTTTGAACTCAGTTTACAAAGCTCACGCCCTTTAAATGTACCGAATAAATTCATAAAATTTGAAAATATGTGCCAAACAGATTTGTTTTCATATACTCCTCGAGAATGTCGCATCTTGGGGCATAAATCACAACTGCCCCATGTCCGTTGCTGAAAAGCTGCTAAAGACAGCTGAGAAAAGAAAAAAAAAGAGCCCTGTGTGTTTTTCTGTAAAATCCTCCGTTAACTGGCGAATGTATGACACATTTCGCCTTTGGGATTTGCGGGCGAAGGACGCGTTTCGCTTTCGTTTTCGCATTTTCGCAGCTCGCATCTCGCATCCGCCATTTGCCATTTGCCGTCGGTGTGTAGTTTAGGCCAAATTAACATATCACACAGGCCGCATCGTCCTTGGGGCCTCTGCACCTTCTCCGCTTGACTTGCCACTTTGAGATGCGGCCTTATAGCCCGTATATATCCTACAGATGTGCTCGAAGCAATAGCTTCAAGCATGGCTGTCACAGAAGCGCAAATATCTCGTTTTGTACCAAATTCTTTCATTGCACTTTATTTTACATATGGACTCTACTTTACAAGATGTGCTTTAAAAAATTGTAAAAATCTTTTTGTTATACAAACATATTTGATTATATGAAAATAATATTAAATTAAGTTTTTAAATAATTAATTTCAAAGTGTCTTATATAAATACATCAGAAGATTCCGATTTTATTACTTTTATTTAATTTTTAAATTTATTGTCTGTTTGTATTTCTTTTAAATTGTAATTTGGTGAATTAATTGGTTTCTGAATTGAATTTTCGCATTCTGTAGTAAAGAACAAAAATCAACACAAGTCGGTGCTATTAATTCGACCGCAACTGTGTAGCTATATAGGCCTAGGCAATGGGCCATTGACTGCCAACCATTTGGATGGCGTTGCAGTCAAGTTTTCAGAGGCTTCGGTCTCCTTTTTTTGTCGTCATGGTTCATATCGCATTTTTGACGCTGTCTCTGAAATATTCTGAATGTCATGCGGGGACCCACAAAAGGTGAACCAATTTTCGCGAAATTGTGTGCGAAATAACGATGAATCTCGATTGAGTCTTTTGCGGCAAGCAAAAACCATTACAAGTTTAAGGATCTTTAAAAGATTGAGAGGCCTTGCATACTTAAAGCAGGGATGACAACAGTAATTCATGAACAAATGAATGGTTTTTACCAAAATTGTGTTAACAAATTAGATAATAAAACGTTAAATACCATATTAATGAATTTTGAATTTTGTCATCTGTTAATTAACCTTAAGAACTGAAAATTTTAGCCAAATGCGACTTTTATTTTGTTTCAGCTTAATTAAATTCAAAAATATGTAACACAATGAGAAGTATTTAGCATTAAATATGCTGTATATATAAGGAACAAAGTATTGCGCTTTCATATTATACTGGGAACAGGAGCAGATACACAAATCCCAGTATAGTTGTTCGAGTCGCAACTGTACCCTTGCATTTCCTGATTCCAGGAATATAAGTTGCGCAGTTTGTTTTCATGTTATACTACAAACAGGAGAAGCCTACACAATTCCAAGTATAGTTGTTCGAGTCGAAACTGTACCCTTGCATTTTCTGATTTCAGCAATATATAAAAGTGCAATCGTGGGTCTCCATCAAGGCTGAAAAGATGTGGGAGCTTGCACACATCCCTTATACATACTTATATGTACATGCTAGCCCACGCATTCAGATTCAGCCACTACATTACATTATGACATATGCCCATTAGGGGGACGAAGTTTTCGGCTCCCACGGTTCCTGCAATTTCATGGAGGGTCCCTTGTTTTAATCAATGTCCGAATGCACTTTGAAATTTTTTTTTAAGAAACAGAAAAAACAATATCATTTAATTATTGAGAATTTTTCAAAAAATTGTATAGCTTACTTTCGGTTTTGTAATACCCTATACATGTACAACACAAGTTTTTAAAGAGCTTACAATAGCTACAATTGTAGCTATAACTATTTCCTGTTGACGAGTTTCTCTAATCCCTTTAGGGCACACAAAAGTATTTGTTTTACTGCTGTAACTAATAAAACCAAATACTTTATTTGTTAACGACTTGTATCACAGTGTGCTTCTGAATTATGTATATGCTTGCACTTCGTTACTATGTACGACTTTGGACCAATCAGATTAATGCAATTTGAGATTAACTATATGGTTGTTGCAAAGCCAATCTGATTTCGACGTTCATTCCGCCAATCTCATCCCTCATTGTTGCTTTATCTAATGCCGCTCTTGTCTTTTTCGAGGAATCATTCATTGTTCTCTCCATTGACTGCAGGTAATATTATTTTTGTTTTATTTTCCTCTATGGGCATTCCCCTTTTGTTTGTTTTCATTGGGCCAGAGACCACCTCGTGGGTCTCCATTTTTCCGATTTCTTTGATTGTTGTTGCTGCAATCGTGCTGTACGGTTTTGCAGACAATAAAGAGCCTTTCATTTGAATAATGCGAAAACATTTTGCTAGACGCCCGCTGCCATTGTCTCGTAGCACATAATTTCGCCCTTTCCCCGTCGATGCCATTGCTTTTTAAACTGCTCAACTGACATGCCGATTGCTTTTGTCCGCACACCAATATCTTTCGAACACAACTTCACACACTGGGTCCTGATTGCTCCTTGATGGACAGGCGAACAGACAGACGGGCAGAAAGTAAATTTGGTCATCGGTAATCGTCGATGCCGTGTCGAAGTCCGAAGTTCTCCATCGGCTGATGAACATGGAACACGGAACTTATATATCACTTTAGAAGAAACTCCCATTAGAGCTTCCAACACTGTACTTCGATAGCTACATCGATTAATATAGCTCGCCACTAGACCTTTTATCGGTATTATCGATTCTTTTATTTATTTATTGATAATCCTCAAGTATCTTTTGGTTTTAGATTACTGATATTTGGTAGGGTAATACATCACATACCAATTCTGTGTGCAACAGGTAAGCTTAATACTTTTACGAACGATTTAAATATCGAAGATGTTGACGATCACCAAAAACCAAATCGATTAAAGCTTGTTATCGATTGACATACTTATTGTGTCCTTTCTGTGTACACCAACAGATGGTCAGCAATGCAGACCAATTGCCCTGGAAACTATTTAAAATTGGCAGTGATTACAGAGCACTTTTTGATAGACAGGTCGTAGTTGGTTTTTTCTAATAATGTTGACTTCTTTTTCTTGTTTTGTTCCAATTTGAAGACCTCCTTTTTGCTCCCAACCGTGCGACTATCTATCTATATTTCCCTGGGTCCTTCTATTGCACTTGCGGCCCTTTTTGAGCCAGAACTTTTGTGCGCCTCGCCTGAAAGTATGCCATGTTGTCCGTGTCGGGGAGATTATTGCTATTGTCGTATCAATTGGGAGCATTTACATGCGGCACGTTTGGCCGTAAGTTTCTGAATAAATCACAGACCATACGGACATGTTCATATGAATAATTTGTGTCTGTATTGCTTTTGGGCACCCCGCGTTGCCTGGGGGTCGTAATTGCTTTATAAAAAGCATGTTTTTGGGTCACCAAAAATTGCAGCATAATCGATTAGATTAGTAAACAAATCAATAAGAATTTTCCCGGCCGATTAGCGTCCAGTGTTGGGCTCCTAATTGCCGATTTGTCGTTAATTGATATGCTATTTAGCAATTAATTGGCGTTTAATTGTGTTTAAGGTAAGCCATTGGGTTGATCAAAACAATGAATAGTTTTATAGCTTTTTTTAGCTTTTTAATATATAACGTTATATTATAAAATAAAGTCCAGAAACTTACGTTTTCAATTTGATTAATGTAAATAAACATTTAGTAAAATTGTTATTTAAGGTTTAACCATAAAACGCAAGGCTTTTGAAAGAACGTTTAAGGTAGAATTCTTGGTTTTTGTAGGTTTTTTTTGTTAATGGTTTTGTATGAAGTGAAAAAGGCACCATATATAATCCTGTTAAACACCCTTTTCCAGGGTATCTCGCATTGCCCTGAGCATTTCGGGCAGCAGTCCAACATGGCTGTCCACGCAGTTGTTGGAGCAGCGATCCAGGTGATAATCGGATCCATGGAGCCGACAATTCTGAATGCATTTCTCCAGGCGATTCTCGAAGTCGGACATACCCTGCTGCACGAAACAGCGGGCTCGGGTCAATCGAACTTGGCAGCGGTCTACGCACCGCTGTACCGCCTCCGCATTCGCATCCGCATCCGCACAGCAGGCGGTCGCACAGGCGTGCATCTCGATCTGCAGCTTGCGCAGATAGTCCCGATCTAGATCCTCCATGGCGGTCAAGATCGCATTGTCCACGCGGTCGCGCTGCTCCTCCAAACTCGGATTGTCGCTGTCCATTCTCTATGTTGTACAATATTATTTGGTATATTTTGGTTTAGCTCTGTTTTGCGTTAAATTGGGTGTGAATTTTCTATGAACATTATTAGGAGTGCTTGATTTTTTTTTAAGGCAAAGCCCAATGCTCATGTGATTTTGTTATCTCAATTTAAAATACTTGTTATTTATACTATATCCTATTTATTTTGTATATCTGTAATAAAATACTGAAAATTACTTAATTGAACTATGCAAACATTATCAAACTTTTCTTAGATATAACCATATTAGGATCTTTAACATTTCTTTATTATTTTTATTTTTTGTTAAGAAAACTGTATAGCTTTTTTTTGTTTTTAATAAAAGTACTGCATGAGCAGGAAATTGTATTGTCAAGCTTTAAAAGTTCCAAGTTAAATAAGGTCATGGTATTATATCTTTTAAGCAACTAAATATTTCAAGTAAAGTTAAGTTTTAGACATAAATCAGTGTCAAGCTACCTCTGATTGGAATTTACTAATTTTGTGTTTTCCGATAAGGCAGTTCTAAAATTGTATATAAGAAGCAGTTGAGCCCCAGTAAAGTTTAAAGTTTTCAAAATGCATTATTTGCATGTCCTGGGATTCCTGGTTTTTTTTGCCACCTATAGCTCATCCCTCGATCGTGCATTGAACAGAAGGCGATTCATGGAACAATATAAGGATCGGTCCTGGCGACTAACTATGAACATATCTCAACAAAGGCACGATCCTGTCCTAATGTCCTTGTTGCAACGTGACTACAATGACCATAAGCTAATCAATAGGAAGGATTTGTTTCCTGCCCAGATGCCCTCAAACGATCTAAAGAGATATTCAGGATCCAATTATCAACCTTTCACTCCCTTTGAAAAGCGTGTAATACGTTTACTAATTAGACTGGGAATATTGAAAAGCAAGGCTGAAATTATGCTGGAAACCCTGGAAAAAGACAAGGAACTATTAAAAAGATTGAAGAAGTTACTCGATGACGTCGACGAAGAGCAGGAGTCCGATGACTTTTTTGAGAATTTTTTCAATTTGATATTTGAGTAAAGTAGTTAAAGATTTAATTAAACTTTTACTATATCCAAAAGCTGAAGCTTAAGACTGTTATTCTAAATTTGTTATTTTTAAATTTTAATTCAAAAATGGTTTTTATTCTTGTTAAGAAATTAAAGTCCTGAAACTTTTCTGAACTCAATTAATTTAATAAGCTTTTAATAGCAGACCGTATTCAATTGTAAATCGATAGCATGTGGAATATTGTCGATTATATCGATAACCTGGTAATGCGTGCAAAACAAACATTTAGAATGCCATAAAATGGCTTGTTAGAACCTATAGATAAGGCAAAGCCTCTGATTGATAATATTAAAAAATGTCATTACCATAATCGTTAGGATTATCTTTACCCCCTCCCCTTCCTCATCCCCCGATAATTATCGATAGTTTTGGGCACTTGTGTTGGCCCAACTTAAAACAGCAAACAAATGATTGCCATAAATTTGATGGCAGCTAACAACGACAACAAACAGTAGCGCTACCACCCACTTTTCTCCTCATTTCCCCGCATTAGCCTGCATTGCTTCGCTCTACTTTCTCCGCTCCTCTCTCCACTGAGTTATGTGCCAACTGTTGAGTTTCCTTCCGCTTCCGCGGGCGAAAGAGAGAGAGTGCGAGAGCGTGAGAGAGGGTGGGACAGAGATGGGGCGAGCGAGTGTGTGGGCGGCAAGGGAAGAGGGAGTGAGAGCGATACGGCCTTTTAGCCACATTCTCTCTCTCTCCCTCTCTCTTTCTCTCTCGCCGGCATCGAGGGCTGCTTACAGGTGTTTATAGTGGTTCGGGTTTTGCCGAACTAAACCGAAACGCCAGCCGAGGTCAGCCATCCCGCTCGCTCCCCAGCGGACACTCGATAGCGCCCTCTTGCTCGCGGTCGCTTTATATTCCTGGCAACGCGTCGCCTTCGCATCAGTTTCATTTGGACCGTTCTAACGGCGCGTTGTGCTAGAGAAAAAATCCTCATATAAATAGCAGAACAGCCCCAAAACATTTCAAACAAAATACAAAACTCTCTTGAACTCAAATTCTCCAACTCGACATCGCTACAAAACAAAAACATCCCATACCAAAACAAAATATACTGAAAAACTTTCAATATACACATATAAAATAACTCTTTTTTTGATTGTGCTTCTAAGTGTTGTGCTAAAACTATATTAACTTTTACAAATATTCAAAAATATTTAAAGATATTCTACAGTATACTTCTACTTTTTAAATATCCAACTAAAGCGTAAGAAAGCTAACTAAGAAATCACTTAACATTTCACCAAAACAAAAACTATAAACAAAAAAACAGGCACTTTTTAAGACCAAACATCTTTGCAGTTAAGTGTTTTTGAATCCTAACTGTTAACGTGTAAACGCACAAAAATGTGCACAAAATTCTCATTAGACTCGAACGACTGAAAAGTGCGTTCCATTGAAAAAAAGGTAAATATTAAATTCATTGAAACCAAATTTAATTGGAAAATTTGTTGATTAATTTCGTGATTTAATGTGTGAGCTATTATTTGGCTTGTGTGTGTGCTGCGGTTTTTCAGAAACGTTTTTGAAAAGTCTTTAGAGGCAGATTCCAATTATTTCTTTTGATATTATTGCTGTGGCTTATTTCAGTGTAAGGATTCGAATTGAACATGTTTGTAAAAGTTTATAAACTTTCCAGAAAAAAGTGAATCTTGTACATTTTCGAGAATTGATTTCTTTTCTTCTTGAGATAGATTGTATTAGTTTGTCTGAATCGAAATAAAATTGAGAATTGATATTGTTTAATAGGTATACTGAATAAATCGGACCTATGTTCACGTTCATTTTGTTTAAAGAATATTTTAATGTAAAATACATTTATATTTCTTTTAATTAAAATTTATAAAAAATATATTTTTAAATTTCTAAACTAACAAGAGTTTTATAAACCTTTATAGGTATTTGAAAACATTCGACATTTTTGGTATTTTTTTGTACTGACCTTTCAAAGTTAAAAATTTGTTTAAGAACTTTTTTAAAATTACTTTAATTTTGAGAAGTTCGAATGAAATTCCTGCCATGTCCCGGCGCTTGCCATTCTATATAAATTCAATTACCCACATTTTCTTTGTCTCGCTGCCCGCTTACCTCTCTCCGAATGTCTGTGTGCCAATGAGATGATTTAATGAAAAATTGTCTACGATTTTGGGAGTCCCTTTGTGATCGCAGCAAAGGGAAACAAGCTCGTTACGCATACGCCGCGTGTGCGATTGTATTAAACGACGCCATTGAAAATTGCCAGCCACAAGGAGTGGTTAAAGCCACTCTGGTTTTGGATTTGGGCCCTTGTCGGCCAGCCTCGTTAACCGAACTTGTTGCCGCATTCGCATTCGCATTCACATTCGCACACGCATCCTTCGCATCCTTCGTACGTGTCCTTTTGCTAATCGCTGCGTTTAAGCAACTGCATACGAGGAAGTTGCAGCGCTTGTATTGGCGCGTGACCGGCTTTTCTCTGATATAAGAGCGCAAAATGGCAAAAAAAAAAAGAAGGAAAACGGCGAAAACCGGGAGCTCCCGGTGCGAATGCGGTGCACGGTTGGCAATCTTTGAATTTCCCCGGCAACAGGAAAACACCAGCCAACGTGTCGTATACGTAGAATTCCTGTTTGCTTTCCCCTTGTTTTTATTGTCTCTACGTTTGCATTCAATGGCAAAAAAGGAAGACAAACTTTCAACGTCGTGAGGCACACCAAAACTCCAAAAAGTATTGCCTTTGATCTAATTATTAAATTCTTCGGGAATTATATTCAATACCATTTTTGTTTAAACTTACAGAATAATTAATTAGAATACATGAATTGTAGAAAATATTACCGTAATTACATACCTACTTCGCTTAATGCATAATGCATATTCTTATTAGGTTATTAGGTTATCATTAAGAAACATCTTTTAGCTATCAAGTATCACAAACAATTTTAAAAATATTTTTCTTTAAATCAACGAGTAATACCCTTTCCTAAAAAGCCAGTACTCGAAGTATTTTTAATAATAAATGTGTGTACAATGAGCACATTGAAATTGTTTCAAGACTTTTATGCGACTTTGTTTGTTTCTGAAATAAAGAATTTTTTTCCATTTTCCTTTCTTACATATATAAATGTGATGTTTCAATTTTTGATCCATTTTTTTTGTTGTTGTTTGCTTCACTTCACATAAAATATTCAATTTTCATTTCTTGTCGGTTTTTTGTTGTGTGCCAGGGGGTTCGCATATAAAATCCAGTAAAAATACACATAAAAATTGAAAAACAACAAAAAAATGAATGGGAGTGGTTGAAAGATCCGGCGGGCTATTTGACAGCGTAAGTGGGGCACAACGTATGCATCGCATTTTGAGTGCATATTGTGTTTTGCATTGAGAGAACAACGGGCTTTTATAATTTCGCCGTGTTAATTAATAGAAATTGTTATTTGAATTTTTGGAAATATATTGAATTGCATTGCGGCTCTTCTCTCGGTAAATTAGCCGCCACTTTCCCTCCCATTTCCACCATCAATCATAGCATTTTGTGGCAGGAGATGGGGTGTATTGATAACATGGCTTTGTGGGTATTTGGCTAAATAAATATTGTGATGGAAAATATCACAATGCCATCGTTGGTATATAGTCCTACCTGATGGTATATTAAGTGGAAAACAATGTTACCGTGTGGATCTAGATGCATTGTTATCGTACCGTTGCTACGGTTTTATATTGCTCCATGGGGATTTCTTCGAGTGTGGCACTATCAATCAAAAGTTCAGAGAGTTAATCTTGGTTTAGACCTTCGGATAAAGTAATAAACGTATATAAACTTTTAAATTAAATTATAGGCATCCGTATTCAAATATCCTGCATTTTACTAAGTTTTTTAATATGAAGTCCATTGGAGTTTTTTATAAAAATTGATATAGATAAAAACAAAACGCAAAAGCTTTTTACATACTAACATTTACATATTAATCACATCACTGTTCAGACAAAAAACAATTATATATTCAAGGCTTTAATAGAATCAAAACAGTGAATTCAATTTCATCGATAGAAGAAACAATTTTTGGAAAGCTCTGTCCCAGAGAGGAACCCGAAATGTGATTAAATAGAATTTGAATACGACGCCAATCCAAACATGGCAGCCACTTTATCCCTATTTTGCTTTCTTTCGCATCTCAACTTTAACCCGTTGCTGGTTTTTCGAAAGGGTGGACTCAACGTTGAAGTGTTGGCATTGCAGGTGGAAGGTGGAAAATCAAGGGGCTTTTCGCCTGTGTCGGGGTATGAGTTAAGTGATTGCTGCTTTTGTGTAAGCCGGCTGAGCTTTTAGCCTGTCAGGGAGCAGGGTCTCCGGCCAATTGGCTGTTTTTTTTGTTTATCCATTGTTGGTCTTCTACTCCGCCGGACAAACAGTCAGACAGCCAGACAGTCGGAGAGTCGGACACCTGACAGTTGTCGGTGGGTAAACATTCCCCAATTTCGGCTGGCTATTTATGTACATGTCAAAGCGGCACACATGGCGTATGCTCGATACGTATGCGCTACATTAAAGCCAAGTTATGAGCCTTTAACAGGCCATGGCAACAGCGACAGCAACAACCAAAGGATCGAATCGAAGTGAACAGGTCCAAAGTAACCAAGACTCCACGAACCTAGAACTCAGAACCCAGAACCTCGTAGCAACCGTCGCTCGTAATAACTAACGTAGTTTGCCTAAGCAATTTGGCACTTGTGCGCTTAATGGCGCCCTCTGGTGCACCACCGTGCACAGTGGGGCAATGGTGACACAGAACCGTTACGGAAACCGAAACTCCCATCAATCATGCATCGCCCATCGAGAGGGGACTTAAAGTTGGAGTAACCAAAGTGCTCACTTTCAAGGGCTTAAACTATGCACTTAGATATTAGACTGTCAAAACAACCAGCATGTTTGTGAAAAAGTTTGATAGCTTTATCTAATAAACACTTTGTTTATATAAAATATATTAGTTACGAATTTTAAGATGTCAAATTGTATGTTTTGTAAATATTTATTTGTTTATGGTTCCTTATAATTTTTGGTTGGTTATAAGTTTTGGGTATCTTCGAAAATTGTACATCTTAATGTTGTTTTTTTAAGTTATAATTTTGTGTATATTATATTATATAATATTATATTATGTTATATAGTATGATTTTATTATATCTTCAAATAAATTGTGTATGAAAAATAAAAAAAATAGTTAACGTTTAATTTATGCGCAAAAGTTACAAATTGAAATGAATTAGGCAAAAATCCATTAAAAATTGATGTGCTAACAAAATTTTGGTAAAATTATAATATAAGGGGAGATGTTATGTTAATGTTATTTGTTTTAGGTCTTTTTAAAGTAAAGTAGTACTCCTCATGTAGTATTTCACATCTTCCCACTACCAACTCACTGTTCATCCGCCAAGGAGCAGGTAAAGAGGAGCCATCCCTCCAGGCGGGGGTAACTTCAAAGGAGGCGGCAGGAGGAGCTATCTATTCCGGGTAAACCAGGACGACATGGCACATGTGCTTAACTGCCAACGTGGGGGTGACGCCTGATATATTTGCATGCAAAAGTGTTGTCACTGTAACGACTGGTGTTGCTGCCGCTCCTGCTGCCTGCCAATGATAAATGCAAATAGCTGCAGACAGATAGGGGCTATGGGAAAATAGCGGGGAAAGGGATTTGGGAGATTGGCGACGTTACGCATCCGCCATGTGTGCTAGATGCAGACGCGAGTCTCGAATCTCCAATCTCAAATCTCGACTGCAATCTGCTTTTGATTGAGTGAATCCAGTAATCGGCGGTCCTCAAACGATTGACAAACATTGTTAAAAATGTAAACATTTATTTGAGATCCCAACTTAATAAACGACGTCGAAACGAGTCCATGGGGGAAAGGTGGTTAATTTCCCTGTCGACAGCTGTCAACGCTTTTTGGTTTGGTTGGCGGACAAACAAAAGCCACAAACACTCGAACACACAAATTTGACAAACTGCATTTACCGAAAGCAACTGAAAGCCACCGACGAAAAAATAAAATAAAATAAAGGACCACCCTCTACCCCATTTTATTGTTATGGGTATTTACACTGGAGTCATTGACACGCTCCGCGCTTTCGCCTTTCGTCGTTGTTCTTTTTGTGGTTTCTGACCCTCGAAAGACGGGGAAAATGGGTGGGAAAGTCCGAACTAATAAAGCCAACTATTCGGGGTTTTATTTGGCCATTTGTTTTCAGTAGACTGCGGCTTGCAGATATCTTAACACAAAGGGTTATTCAAATTGATGTATGGAATTTTAATAGACTAAAGTTTGTGGAAGCAAAATATAGATATTACATTTATATAATATATTATCAAATAAATTGTACATATTCGTCTTTATATACGAGTACATATCATTAATAATCAAGGGAA